GGGAGGGGGAGGGGCACCTGGGATGCATGTAAATCAAAGAGGGAGGGGAATTAAGGGAAAAGGAGCAAGAGACTATGTAAGTATATTGGGGGAGGAATAAGGGAAAATACTAGAAAACTAAAACCACTTCCCTCTGTCTACCCACCCCAATTCAAGGAATGACAGCTGTACGTTGTCAATATCACTATTAACAGGTGAGAGTCATAATGACAAGGAATCAGTGTAGAGCAACAAACAAGAATTGAACCAAGAAGGAATATAAGAGACCAATTAAAATGTCAATTATATGCATAAACAATTATTTGACAAAGAATTCTACTGTAAAAATTTTAGCTGTAACACATAAAACAACTCTCTTCCCCAGCACACACCCCCACACCCCAATCCGGCATTAAGTAGATGCTGGTCAGCTGCAATCTGAAACTGCAACCACAGATCCAGTTAATCTGTCCCTGTTTTGTTCATGTGTGTGGGTGCACACACATGCACAGATGTAAAGTATGAAAAGCTCGCTGGTGAAATGGGACTATGAATATCTAAATAATTCGGCCAATTATCAGTGACCTAAATGCTAAACAGTCTTGATATTCCTGGACAAATGATCAACTGTCTTGCATCTGCTGCCTCTGACACAGATATTAGAATATAAAGTAATATTCCTTTTTATTCTAACTGTATTATATTTTTTAAGGTTTAATTTTGCTTTTAAACCATAAGCTCAAATTTACAAAAGTACCCTCACCTGAAAGATTAGATTGGTGGATGGGGGAATGAAAACTGTATGATCCAAAGAGAAAAACTAATGAGCCTTTGAGGTCAGCAAATCTGACAGCTTTTTTGTTTTTTTGTTTTGTTTTGTTTTTTTTGAGACAGGGTCTCTCTCTGTCACCTAGCCTGGAGTGCAGTGCCTCAGTCTCGGCTCACTGCAACCTCTGCCACCCAGGCTCAAGTGTTCCTCCCACCTCAGCCTCCTGAGTAGCTGGGAGTACAGGGAGGCACACCTGGCTGATTTTTGTATTTTTTTTGTAGAAACTGGGTTTCACCATGTTGCACAGGCTGAGCTTTTCTCTTAATACACATCAGTCTATCAATCTTCATTATGACTTCTAGAAAAGCATTTGCTATTGATTCATTATCTATCCCAGAATACTTTATCTTATTTATATTTAGCTTCAAGTCATATTTATGTCTCAATCAAGAGATGAGGTTACTAGAAAAGTATATATAACCCAGAGGAAATGAGGTTATTTACAGAAGGCCTCAAGCCTTAATGAGATATCTACAGGAACTGTACACATTTCTACTTGTATACATTTTTGTCTATGTGATACCAGTTGACTGTTACTTGTTATTAACATAGATTTTTACAAAGCAAAGCAGTTATTGTATTTACTCAGAAAATTTGCTTATTATAACTATATTAGCTCAATTTTTAGTCCTAATTAAAGTGAAATCTTTCATTTAAGGAATGGATAAGAACCTAAGAAAAAAAGTAGAATCAATATTTAAGAAAAATGAGGAAGATCTCGTAGTCTCCATTATAATACAGATTAAATAGAAAAATAGCAAGACAAGAAAAGAAATAATATACTTGATTAAAAATTACTCCTACAATTCATGATTGCTTTAATTACTGCCATTCCTTTTTAAAACACCAAGCATTTTCAATTTCTTATCATCAGGATTCATCAAGGCAAGGGGAAAAAATTACAAAACCAAAGCCATTTGTTTTTCATGCACTGAATTCAAGATCATTAAGGTAGTCTTCAATTAAAGACAATTTTTAAGTTTCTAAAAATGGATAGGAAAAATTAAGTTTCAAGTCTAACCTGAGTTGGTGACAGCCATTTGCCACTAAGTGTGAATGAAGGTGGGGAAGAGGATGGATAATCTGGTGGCAGTTCAAAGTTCAGCACAAGTGGAGGCAGAAAGCAAATGGTGTATTCAAAGCCACTATTCTGGAGACACTCATTTGAATTGCCTGAACCAAAAACAAAGATTAGAAAGGATCAGTTGGTCAATACTTGAGTGTCCATTACTGTTGAGCAATGCTCAAGAAAGACTTAATGCTTTAGTAAGAGGGAATAAAAACCCTTCCCAAAGCACTTTCTATTTCCTAACTTTAACTTGGTAACCGCCACCTTAAAAAAATATTGTAACCCCTTGAAAAATCTAAGCATGATGAAATGTATAATGAAGATACTACAACTCATTCTTGTATACACTTCTGGGTACAGTTCCTAACACTAATGACCAAGGAACACACAATGTTTTGTTGTTGGTTTAGTTTACAGTAGATGATTAAAGACAATCTAGAGAAAGGGTGTTCATTTCTATTGAACAGCCATGACCTACTTAGACCAGCATGTGCCAACTACCATGAATCACAGTTGGGAAAATTTGTGCCAACACAATGATTTCAGGTTTGAGGATATGATATAGCACATAACAGTCTCACAATCAAAGTTTCATTTAAATTATCACACTTACATTCCTTAATCCCTTTATAGTAGAAACATTTGAGAAGGTGTGCATCAAGGTCTTCTCTAAATATCTGTATCAAAAGCAGTTTTGGTTTTTTTTGAAGCAAAAGGTCACACAGTAACAACATGTGTCACATGTTTACAGTAGTTGAAATGATTGTGGAAACCAAATAGTATTAACAACCACCACTGTACTTGAAAATTTCCAAGTGTTTTCACATAAATTCATTTTCTCTTTGATTATCTCTGTTTAACGGCCAATGACTCATACTGATAAACTGCTAGATAGCAGACTAGGATGTATGAAATACACAGGATAATATCCCTCTGCAGTGATCAAAAAGGTGGAATCAAATTGAAAACTGCTTGCCCCTCATTGCAATTTTCATTTAAAACAGAAACATGCATTAAATCTATAATACTACCACCTGTCACTGATGCCTATAAATACAAAAATGACAAATAGCTTAAGGTACACTAAGAAATAAATAATAATCTGTTTAAGAAAATATTATTAACTAACCGCTCACAAATATCTTGAAATTCTGTGGCAAATCCAAATAGATCCTGGTTTCTCCACCTTGGACAGACTCTGCTTTTCTAAATTCATCTCCATCGTAAATACTCGCCAGGGCCAGCAATTCATCCTCCTGAGCTTCTCGGTCTTCTGACGACATTTAATTTTCTGAGGAACTGAAAACATAAAATCAGTTAAGAAGCACAGAGGCTGGCCGGGCCTGAGGGCTCATGCCTGTAATCCCAGGACTTTGGGAGGCCGAGGCAGGTGGATCACCTGAGGTCAGGAGTTGGAGGCTAGCCTGGCCAACATGACGAAACCCTGTCTCTACTAAAAATACAAAAATTAGCCAGGCGTGGTGGCAGGCACCTGTAATCCCAGCTACTTGGGAGGCTGTGGCAGGAGAATTGCTTGAACCAGGAGGTGGAGGTTGCAGTGAGCCGAGATTGTGGCACTGCACTCCAGCCTGAGTGACAAGGGCGAAACTCTGTCTCAAAAAGAAAATGCACAGAGGTGGGAAAAGTTAAATGGCAGTTTTTAAAATGTTCCTCACAAACAACTGCAAAGAATTAATTGATATTCTCATTTTTCTCCTAAACCAAAAATGACAGCCATATCTGGCATTCCATTAGCTTTGTAATAGTAACAGTCTTTTTCAAAAGGGATGGTTGTGGTACTTCTAATTCCTGACTTTATCAGTTAGGTATTTTATGACTGACTTAGAGGAAAAAAAGCATAATTTGAAAATTTTCTTTGAAAAGGACAAATCACAAATTTTCTTTGACTTGTCCACTGAACCTAGCAAAGTGACTGGCTTGCAAAAAGGGTCAAAGTATATTACACTCCTTTCTTAAAATAAGTGAATTTGCCAAGCCCAGTGGCTCACACCTGTAATCTCAATACTTTGGGAGGCTGAGGCAGGCAAATCACCTGAGATCAGGAGTTCAAGACCAGCCTGGCCAACATGGTAAAACCCCATCTCTACTAAAAATACAAAAATTAGCTGGGTGTGGTGGCACACCCCTAGCTACTCGGGAGGTTGAAGCAGGAGAATCACTTGAACATGGAAGGCAGAGGTTGCAGTGAGCCGAGGCTGTGCCACCACATTCCAGCCTGGGCAAAAGTGAGACTCTGTTTCCAATAAAAAAAAGAAGTGAATTTTTTAAATCCACAGGAATCTTTAGGGCAGGTTTTCTTAGCTTCAGCTCTACTGACATTTTGGAGTAAATAATTGTTGTTAGGAAACAGTGTTGTGCACTATAGAATGTTAACAGCATTTCCTGGCTTTTATCCACTAGATACCCAATAGTGCCCCGCCTCCACCCACAAGAGCTGTGACAACTGAAAATATCTAGCCAGGTGTGGTGGTGCTTGCTTGTGGTCCCAGCTACTTGGGGGGCTGACATGGGGGGACTGCTTGAGACTGGGAGGTCAAGGCTGCAGTGAACCATGGTACCACTGCACTCCAGCTTGGGTGACAAAGTGAAAGAGACCCTGTCTTAAAAAAAAAAAAAAAAGGAAATATCTCCAAATATAGCCGGAAGTCCTGGGGCAGAATTGGGGGTTAAAGGCAAAATTGCTCCCAGTTGAGAAAACTGTGCTTGAGGATGTTACAGGCATAGATACTACACAAGAAAATTAGATAACTGAGCAAGCAGCAAAATATTAAAATTTTGAAACAGAGTTTGTCAAATCCAAGCAGCCATCAATATTAAGATTTACAATTATGACTCAAGAATATTTAAAAGATAATAATTTTTAAAAAGATTTACCATTATTTTAGATAATACTAAGAATTTAGCTATAAGGGCCAGGCACAGTGAGTGGCTCAAGCCTTTAATCCCAGAACTTTGGGAG